ACAGACAAACAAAATAAGAATCAACATTCCATTTCATCTTCAATACAAAATTTAAAACAATGCACACACCACAATTTATTTACCCGACTGTGACGAAAAGAGGTTATGGCAAATTTTTCCTCCCACAAACCCAATCGCACTGATAATTCATAAAAATAAAATTGTTATACATAATAATGAAAGATTTACTCACACTTTATTAAGTTTAAAACACATTACAAATAAACAAAACTATCGATAAATCACATCACTATTCAATATACTATTAAAACGAAAATTATGTATGTTTCGACTGACAGCTAGTGTTGTACTGACCGCACAAAATACATCATGGTATTACATGGTGTAGGAAAAAATATAGTAGTATTAAAATAAAAATAAAAATGAAACTTTCGTAATCGGTTAAATTTATTAAAGATGTATTTGTGTTTCTATTTAATGAGAAATATAGAACGTAATTTAATGTAACTTCGAAATAAAAGTATATATTTCTTAATAAAAATATCAGTTAATTTCGATTTTAGACAATTCGCTATGTTTTAGGATAGTAAAGATAAAAAATCAAGGTACATTCATATGAAGAAAGTGTATACCTCATGTACATATATAAACAAATATTTATTTCCAAATTAGTACAGCGCCATATAAGCCGCGTAGATTTTTCCTAAACGTGAGTCACATACAATGGTAGCTTCTTGTATAATCAATAACAAAAGTGCTTTATATAAATATATATAATTTTTGTAAAAAAAATTAAGTTTTAATATTTCACCATCAGGATATCAGAGCCCACTGCTGAGGCAAAGCTTCTTCTCACATGGAGAATAAGTAAGTAATAAAGTACATATGACTTTGAAAAATCACATTGGTACTTGCCAGGTTTCGAACCCGCGCCCTCATGCATGAGAAGCCGACCTTTAACCACTAGGCCATCACGATTCTAGACTATTTGTATATATTATAATAATTTTTACATTGTCCCTGTATATGAGCATAAATTAATTAAAATTCCCAAATAAAACTATAAAGAATTTTAAAAGCAAAAATTTTTCAAATAGAACTATCTTTTAATGATAATTAGACCTTTTTTTATTTTCACGAAATTACAATTACTTTTCAGTTTCCATGATCATAATGGGATGAAGGTGGAAAATATTATTTCAATAATAATAATAATATTAAAAAAAGTTTTATTTATGTGACATTTCCAAAATATTTGTCAGTCATAGTACATTTGAGCATCGATTTTCCGTGAAGGCTGTCCTTGAGCTTTAAGGCTTGGTTTTATGTATCACCTTGGTAATAAAGCTTTCACCATAATGAAAATAACTTAGAAAATATAAGCTTTTGTTCATTGCATAACAAAGGCAAGAAAAAAATAGTTTTGAGTAAGAAAAAATAATTAAAACTTAATTATTAGGTTCAAAATTGATGTAAGCAATTAAAAGATTATCTTAAACACGATATAATAACACGTTAAATTTAACTGCACTCTTGAAAGTTAACCTTCACCTACATAGATAAAAATAACTGGTTGTTAGATTTTAATTTATATTGAACTAGCTGCGCCCCGAGGTGTTACCTGCGGATTTCCGGAATGTAAAGTAGCCTATGTGTTATTCCTGGACGTCAGCTTCCTGTATAAACTTTTTTACCAAAATCGGTTCAGCCGTTTGAGCGTGAAGAAGTAACAAACATACACACACATTCACAAACTTTCGCAATCATAATATTAGTAGGATTTTAAATAATCCGTTTTAGTTGCTAAGTACGAGTATCATAGTTAAGAACTGATTTCTTAGAAATTTGAGAATGATGAAGAGCAATGATAATAATCAATCTTAAAGAAGAAAATATGAGAAAAAATTACTTGGAAAGAAGAATGTATGAAATATCTAATTTAATAAAAAGGCAGCTACAATAGTAGCACGTAGAATTCTGTGAAATGTTTTTACCAAAAAACAGTTTAAAAGCCTTATCAAAATTCACGATCTTCAAGAGAAACCAAAAGACACGACTTGTTAAAAATAAATAATAATATGTTTTATATCTGTTTTGACATGAAACAAATTAATTAATTTGCCATACAAATAAAATATTAAATATAAATAAAATAATCCTAACACTTTTATACACGACTGTACTTCACAATTAGTACAATAGATCATCTCATTCATTTGGGAACTATCTCTTTCACACGTTTTATAAAATTTAACAAAATGAACTCTATTTTTAATGAAATTGAGTCTATTATTGAATGTAATTTAATTTCATACAATTACTATAACTAACTGTTGCGAATTCCGTTCCTTTGTTTGTTTAAATTGCTTTTATCACGACATATTATATTACTAACCCACCAACCCATTTTCAAGCGTGGTGGGTAATCGTTATGTTGGCTAAATGCAATTATATATTTATTAGAAAAAAATGGATAATTTTGAGGACGTGACATAGTTGCTAAGACAGAAAATACATATCTGGTTTAAAGGAAAGTCAGTGGTAACCTAATGGTTAAAGGCCCGCCTCTCATGCACGAGGGCGCGGGTTCGATCCTGGCAAGTACAAATGTGATTTTTCCAAGTCATATGTACTTTATAAGAGTATTTAGACACCACTGACAGATGAAGGAAAACATCGTGAGGAAACCTAGACTTTTAATTTCACAATTATAAGTTTGAAATCACCAACCCGTCTTGAGCAAGCTTGGTGATTAATGCTCTAACCTTCTCCATGTCAGAAGAGGCAGCTCAGCAGTGGGCTCTGATAGGCTGATGATGATGGTTTTAAGGAGAGAAATTTGATTTTTCATTACCTTAAATATTATGATGAATTTTTATATGAGTATTGAAAAAATATTGTTTTGATATAAATATGGGTCGCTGTTGGTTTATTAATTTCTGAAGATTATTAAGTATCTGATATCAGGCTTTCAAATTAAATTATTTATTAATATAATAAGAATTCCCACTAAATTTCAGTATTTTAAGTAAATAGAAAATTCTAAACATTTTGGTTTTAAAAACATTTGATATACAAATAAATATATACAATATGTTACAAGTGGCGCCATCTGTGTCATACTAATTATAACATACTATAATCCTTACAATTATTTGTATGACTGATTATAATTAATAATAATACTGAACCACTGTAATGTATCAACATAAGTATCTTGTTTTTGTAAACTATAAATACTGGCTTCAGACATTTTGGCTACCTTACTGGAAGTAATTAACATTGAAAAACAAATCTGTTACTTTATCTCGAAAGATAATTTATATGTATTCACGGTGCGTGTGTCGGGTCCATCGTTGTAGTGAGAGGAGCTTCAACAGTGACTGTGACTTGTGACCCAGGTGTAGGTTTAATATATATAGAGAGACGAAACCTCTCATCATTCAATGTATTCACGGTGCGTGTGTCGGGTCCATCGTTGTAGTGAGAGGAGCTTCAACAGTGACTGTGACTTGTGACCCAGGTGTAGGTTTAAGGAACCCTATCTAACGCGTTAAACGATCACCTCCACTGTCCAAACTCCACTAATATATAATCTTTAATACTGAGAATTTTCAGCTCGCTACATATCAACACTAATTGTCAAAAATGTTCCTATAAAATTTCTATTATATTTTGGGTACTTCAAGGTCATTAGAGGTCATGAACTCAACAGCTGTTTAGTGACGTCACTGTACGGACCATAAGACAAATACAACATTGCTCGAACAATGTACCCTTTGAGTTTCTAGCCAGATGTGTAATCTATTTAGAAATCTGATCTTACAGCTTCCTTATAATAATATTTATGTGCAGAATCAGATAACTTAAGTAAGGGATCTCTTCAAAAATTACATTTGTGTGATCACATACACGCTACGGTCTACCGGAGAGGTCCACCTGTGCAGGTAGACCGGAATGTACATATGTGGTAATAGACCTGTGCAGTTTTTTGAATACTACCATTATTCGTTTGACCTGCCCAGGTCTACCTGCACAGATTACCTGTCCAGTAACCATAGCGTGTGTGGCCGGCATTAGCTTCTGGGACATCGAATAGTTTTAATATTTATGTTATATATATTAATTAAAGTAATATTTCTTTGTCATCCAGAATAATGACAGAATTATGAGAATATTTTGCATTAATTTAGCTATTTGTATGTATGTATATGTGTTTTGTGTATAGTGGTTTATAGCTTAACCGACAGCGAAAGGCGAGGTAATGAATTGTAAATGAAGAATCAGTAGTTTGAAGAATTAGAAAGACAAGATTTAAAGGTACGTCTTGATAGCTAAGATTTTCATAAATGTTACTAAGTTTTTCAGACACTACACATCTTTCTACCATTTTTGACCACGTAAACCAAGATTTCGGTTATTTTTTTGACCAACCGTGATCACGGACTGACGAGATTTTATGTTTTTTTAGATCTACATACTAACAAAGTTTCTAATTGCGACTACAGTCGTGTTAAATTTTATTACATCCCTAAATTAATCCCGGAACCTAACCCTCTATTCTACACGACACTGGCAGAAATATACTGTGCACTTTTTTGCATATGTGAAGGGCATATTTAAAACCAACTTAAGTAATCTTCTATATATATAAAAATGGATTGCTGTTCCTTAGTCTCGCTAAAACTCGAGAACGGCTGAACCGATTTGGCTAATTTTAGTCTTGAAATACTCCTGGAAGTCCAGAGAAGGTTTAAAAGGTGAGAAAAATTGGATAATTGCCGGAAAAACCCTAAGAACAGCCCTTTTCTATTTCCCATACAAACGATTTTTTGACATTAGACTTGACAACTAACTAATATGTCAATCATTCTGTTCGATTGAAACAGTAGAAATTTAATAAATACCAATACCGGGTTATTGAAGACGGAATAGAGTTCACCACGTCAGCTATACCTATATTACTAATGACGAAATTAACGCGGACGAAGTCGCGGGCAAAAACTAGTTATTATTAAAGGTTAAAGGTTTCTACTCACATTTTCCCTGTCCACATCCAACTGGTTGTCTCTCTTTGGCAGACTCATGACATTCTTCCTATATCTCTTTGCATCAGTGGAGAACTTCTTCTCCATAGTTATCTTCGCTATTTTGAAGTCCTTGGACACGTTCTCCGATGACTTCCAAACCTTCAGCGGGACCGTAACTTCTTTGGGTTTCTCGAAATTATCTCTGAGCTTCTGGAATTCCGATTTTATTTCAGGAGTCTGCGGTCTCGATTCTTCGCAGGGCAGATCGTAAATTTTCTCCTGGAAGAAGAGATATAAATTTGATTAAAGGCTATAATAGGTATAAAAAAAAATCACAGTAAATCCTTGTAATGAGATTTGACATTTTCGTGAATTATTTAAATGAAACTAATATGTTTCGGATATACTACGCGACTTTATTAAAAAAAAATCGCGTAGTCTTCTTCTTAATCTACCTGGCAATTTCCCTCGGAAAAATCACATTGGTACTTGCCAGGATCGAAACCGCGCCCTCGTGCATGAGAGGTGGGCCTTTACCACTAGGCCACCACTGACAAAAATAAAGTCTCGTAGTATATCCGGAAAATATTAGTTACATTTAAAATCCTATTAACCGAAAGAAATAAACATTCTTAGTATATATGAAATTTTCTTTCACAATTTAAGGAACAATTTTTTCAAACGCTTTTAACCCTTGTAGTAAGATAATAATATTTTCTGATTTACTACGCGTTTTTTATTATTAAATACTCACGAAGTTTCGGTTACTTTACATCAACCGTGATCATTAAGACGAGATGTGAATGTCTGTCAGTTGGTCTTGTTATTTATCTACCTTATATCTTTAATTTTCTGGTATACCGCTCTGGATGCCGACAGGGCTTTGTATTAAATGAATTTTGCGAGCAAAGTCAGTATTAATGCATATATTGTTTATAAATATATCAGATAACTTAAACAGTTACATATATAATTACATCAAAACGCCTGCGTGTCTGTCTGTAAAACCACAACTACACCACAAGGGTCAATGAACCCTAACGACAACACATATATACAAAAATAAATAAAATTGTCTTGTATGTTTGTAAAATAAAAAAAAGACAATTAAGCTTTATATTATGTATTCTTATAAAACAATTATTAAATAAGAAATTTGTAGTGACGCCTCAAACTATGTAAGGTGAAAAATAGACTGAAATTAATTAAAAGTAGTTAGAGTAGTGAGCGAATGCATGGACAAACAATCTTACTATAATAATTATTATGTTTTATATTATTGTTAATTAATGATACCATTTGTAATTAATTTGACTGTATCTATAGTAATATAATGAGATCTAAGATTTTCGCGAGTATTCATTTAAATGACTATACTATTCAAATTTACCTTAGTAAATAAAAATAATAAGACGCGTATGTATGCCTTTTTAATATTAAAACTACATACTACCAACGTTTCGGTTATTTTACAGGCATTCACATCTCGTCTGTCCGTGATCATGGTTGCTGTAAAGTAACCGAAACGTCGGGACTATGTAGTTTTGTAGTTTCAAATAATAAGACGCGTGGTATCTAATATATATATATATACTAGAAGACCCGGCGAACTTCGTATCGCCCTATTATTAAGAAATATCTGTTACGTTTTTTATTATATTTTTGGAGTTTACCTATTAAAGTCATAAATCTCCGTGTTTTGAAATGCGACGGAATGATTGACATATTACTTAGATGTCAAATCTAATATTAAAAAAAACGTTTGTATCAACAACTACGTACTAATAAATTAAAAATTAAAAAAAACATTGTCCAGCGGACAAAATTGTGAATCTAAACCATTCCCAGATCCCTCTGAACACACTCATAAATTTCATCAAATTCGGTCCAATCGTTTGAGAGAAGTTCAGTGAGATACACACTCACAGAAGAATTATATATATAAAGATATATATGTATATATATGCATTTATGTATATGCGTGTGTGTATGTACGTCATTACAATCAAGGATGCCAATCATTAACCGTCCATGAAGTACGTCATAGAAGCACCACGACCTGACTTCTAGACCTCATCATCTGTCATTCAGACCTGAATATCTGACAAAACGTGATAACTACTTATTTTGGAAACAAGATAGTAGAACAATAGTTGTAACATTTTTTGTTCTGACTGTACCTGGATAAAAACACATCTTCGTATTATATCTTTATATATAAAAGAAAATCGTGTTAGTTACACTATTTATAACTCAAGAACGACTGTACAGATATGGATGAAAATTGGTAGAGAGATAGATTAAAACAATGAGACGGACATAGGATATTTAATTCTGTTCGATCAAAAGAAAAAATACTTTATTTTTGTTATTTACTGCCTGTGCTTATAACATTGTAATACTTCACGAATTTCTAGAATAAAAACCTTTATAAAAAAATTCTACAAGAGTATTAAGTCAATTCAAATTTAATTAAAATTGCTAACATAATCATATATATACAAAATTATATATTTTTAAGATATCGAATTTTTTTTATGTATAATTGAATCTAAAAATTCTTGATAAATTAATCAATAAATATTATTACCAATACATATATAAATATTAAATAATTTTTAAGTGTTGTTTGAGTGTTCACTACCCATACAAGTACGACAGAATCCGTCTTGTGACTTAAAAAGGAAAACTTTCTACACCACTGTAGTGACTTAGACTTTCTAGAATGTATATACACATATAAAATAGTTTATCTACATCTTGAATACAAAACACATATTTAACAGCATACACTTATATACATAAAACATATATATATAGAACTTAAATACTACACATCGAATTGCGACCAATTATACTTAATTAATCGATTATTCCAACTTCAATATTATAATATAAATGTCATTATGTTTGACATTTAGTGACACACAGACACACACACACGTATTATATGTTTCTCATATGTTTTACTTATATAATATCGTGGCGGCCTAATTATTAAAAGGTCCGCCTCTCATGCATGAGGGCGCGGGTTCGAAACCTGGCAAGTACCAATGTGATTTATCCAAGTCATATGTACTTTATAAGAGTATTTATAATTTATTATAAGTTTAAAATTGCCAATCCATGTGAGAAGAGGCCTTTGCACAGCAGTGGGCTCGGATAGGCTGATGATGATAATAAATATGTTTTAATTTGAGATTTATATAAATTTCGACATCGTACATTAAAAAAAATCCTACTATATCTACTAAGAAAGTTCCTAATTATGACTTCAGGCGTGGCCGTTAAATTATATTACATTTAGTCAATCCCCGATCGTGTGTCTTCCATTCTACAAGACACTGTCAATATATTTTGCATGTCTTGGCACTTATGAAGGCCATATTTAAAACAACATACCAAAAAATTCCTATAATTTAGATGACGATAAATTTGACAGGAATGTAAACAAAAAAAATGATTTTTATCCTTTAATTTTTACCCGTTAGAGTGACAGACAGAAAGGCAATTATATATACTAGCTTATGTTCGCGTCATCGTCCGATTTAGAAATTAGCTTCAAAAGAGAAACGCATAAATCAAGGTGGATTATAAAATAGAAAATTACTAGATAATGATAGTAAATGTAGTTATAATGAACAGTTTATATTAACAGGAGTAAAAACGATTAATTTACTGATATTAGTTAGAGAAAAAATAAACAAAAGATTTGGGTATGATAACACTTATCAGTAAATTACTCAGTAATTACAATCTCAGACAGAGAGGTATAACAACTAAATCTCTCTACAACCTACTAAAAGACTTGGGCTTGTCCAGAACTAACATTAAAACATTCTTGGAAAGTACTTCGAAGTCAGTCCTAGTAGGTTCGTTTCAAATTTGGTAGAGAGAGGAGCTTGTACGGTGGAGGTGAGTGTTTAACGTTAGATAGGGGTGCCTTAAAGCTACACCTGGGTCACAAGTCCCAGTCACTGTTGAAGCTCCTCTCACTACAACGATGGACCCGACACACGCACCGTGAATACATTGAATGATGAGAGGTTTCGTCTCTCTATATATATTAAACCTACACCTGGGTCACAAGTCCCAGTCACTGTTGAAGCTCCTCTCACTACAACGATGGACCCGACACACGCACCGTGAATACATGAATGATGAGAGGATTCGTCTCTATATATGTATATTATTGTATTATTAATTCTTGCTATACCTACTAATATTATGAGGAGAAAAAAATATATACTCTTGTGTGTATTAGTATTGGAATGATTCACCCTGCGTAAATGCATATTTATATTGATTGCTAGAAAAGATTGTGGTACTAAGTAAAAAAAAAATCTCTTCGGTTTACTATGCGTTATTTTATTATTAAAACTACATACTCCTGACGTTTCTGTTACTTTTCATCAACCGTGATCATTAAGACGAGATGTGAATGTCTGTCAGTTGGTCTGGTTACACAATACAACAAAAAATATCACAACAATCTTACGTAAATCCATGCGAAACCGGGACGAGAAGCTAGTATATTATATATATATATATATATAAAAGATTGCTCTAAAATACTATTTAGTTCAATGTGTCATACATTTCTCTCCGTACGTAATATTGAACAAGTTATTTTAAACAAAAGCCATTGACAAAGAGCGAACAATGGGCAGTCGTTCTCATTATTGTAATATTTTTATAACTCACATACATATTATATACTGCGGATTCACTTGTACCACCGACAGATGTACCTGGGTTTGTCATAGAGAATCTTTTAACAAAACTTACATATAAATGAAACTAATATTTTCGGATTTACTACGCGATTTTTATTTTTGACTAGTTTTTGCCCGCGACTTCGTCCGCGTTAATTTCGCCATTAGTAATATAGGTATAGCTGACCGGGCAAACTCTATTCCGTCTTCAATAAGCCGGTATTGGTATTTATTAAATTTCTACTGTTTCAATCGAACAGAATGATTGACATATTAGTTAGTTGCAAGTCTAATGTCATAAAATCGTTTGTATGGGAAATAGAAAAGGGCTGTTTTTAGGGTTTTCCCGGCAATTATTCTAATTTTTCTCACCTTTTAAACCTTCCCTGGACTTCCAGGAGTATTTCAAGACTAAAATTAGCCAAATCCGTTCCCGAGTTTTAGCGAGACTAAGGAACAGCAATCCATTTTTATATATATAGAAGATAGAAGATAAGCTAAATCTTCTTGCTTTTTTTTTGTCTTACAACGCATATTTTTCTTTTAACGGATTCAATTACCATT